ACTTCCCTATCGTTAATATTACGTCATTAATGTTCTATTTATGCATGTAAACGGTCTAATTACCCAAGTTTGAAATATTCTACACGGTCTGAACCGCTCCACTTCGCCGCTAACTTGTCGTTACACGCTCGAACATTTTTTAATCTAGTGAGTGAACAGGAGCTTGTTGATTTTTTTTATTGAGAGGAAATTGTTGCGAGTGGTTATGAACAAAGATATGTTCTCATTTCTTTGGAGTTTCATATAAGTAAGGCAGCACTTTTCTCGATGAGGGAACAGGGTAATTAGTTGAGAAGACAGTTTATTCGGAATTATTAAGTGAAGAATATTTCTACTCATGGACTAGGTCCGATATCATGTTATGGTTGGCAGACTAGGAACTGATTGCAGGAAAAGTAGGAAAAAATCAAAAAGAAAATGCATTGGATTGGGCCAATGCCTTTCGTTGTGCTTCCGCATTTGTACCTAAATAGATGGTAAAGCTATGAATTTGTTAACGGTTATAGGATTTACCTATACTGTAACTTGTGGCTTTGCGAAAGGCAGATTAATTTATCCTTTAGAAACGAATTAGTTAAATACCAATTTCCTGACGCGAGTAGCGAACAACTGTGTGAGGTACGGCACTCTGTCATTTTCTCCATTCGCGAACACCGTACACATGATATTTCTGAGGACATATCTTTCTCTTACAAGCGCATGTAAATCATTGGTTATAGGAGCACTGCAGCACATGGGAACCATCCCGCTGAGCCGGTCGGATCTCATGAAGACGAAGACGTGTAAATATTAGCTATCCCAACGAAAGGCACTGGCCCAATCCAATGCATTTTCTTTTTGATTTTTTCCTACTTTTCCTGCAATCAGTTCCTAGTCTGCCAACCATAACATGATATCGGACCTAGTCCATGAGTAGAAATATTCTTCACTTAATAATTCCGAATAAACTGTCTTCTCAACTAATTACCCTGTTCCCTCATCGAGAAAAGTGCTGCCTTACTTATATGAAACTCCAAAGAAATGAGAACATATCTTTGTTCATAACCACTCGCAACAATTTCCTCTCAATAAAAAAAATCAACAAGCTCCTGTTCACTCACTAGATTAAAAAATGTTCGAGCGTGTAACGACAAGTTAGCGGCGAAGTGGAGCGGTTCAGACCGTGTAGAATATTTCAAACTTGGGTAATTAGACCGTTTACATGCATAAATAGAACATTAATGACGTAATATTAACGATAGGGAAGTAGTGGTAAAAGAATCATGCGAGTTAAAGCAATGTGGTGCTATGGCTAGTAGTGAAATGAGGCTAGCAATGCGATTACATTTGAATATTACTACAGAGATTGAATGTCTGAAACAGCACAAAAAAAGATTTATTCCAAAACTTCGACACCAATAACCAATTAACAACACTGATTAAAAACAATATACTTTAGGATGTGTTCTAACTAATGCTTAAGACAATGCGCGGATAGAAAGAAGGAGCTATTTCAGAATCTTAAGACAAAATGTGGTGAAAAAATAGTTACGTAGTGTTTTGTCGAAGTTATTGCTCAAAAGTGAAAACAACAAAGTATCAACTGGCAGTGTAGTAAAAAAGGCATCATTTAACCAAATGATAAAAGTTGACCTTATACTGGTCCGAAACTTTGATTTGAAAGCACATCACGGCTTATAATCAAACGCATCATTTCGTTGGTACCCTCCAGAATCTGGTGAACCTGGAATTCAACATCAGAATCGACTCCATCATAAGAAAATATAAACCCCAAAATAATGATTTCTATTTCCAGGAGAACTACTTATATAATTCCCTATTAATCAAATTTTCAATTATACAGCACAACGATCCAGATGGTTAGTTCCTTCGTCGGGTTTCGGTTCCCAATAACTATATTGTCGGTTTGAAAAGAATGACCTATTTTAAAACAATAAATTTGGAATCCTCTTTCAGCCCGAACGTGTCATTATTAGTTAAAATGAAGATAGAACCTACATATTACTGTTAGTTAATATAGAAATTGAGGAGGCGGATGGCACAGTGGTAGTGATGCCTGTCATAGCGAGCATGGTGCTAGTTCGATTTCGCTACGGCCAACCAAGCCTCTCATCCCTCCGGGGTCGGGAAATTGGTACCAAACTTTTCTGGGAAAAAATCACTCTCTGCAATCAAATTGAGAACCCTCCTGCTCTTCTATCCCAGGACTCCAGGGACAAACGCTCGACCAACATTCTATAACTTTAAGATGAAATAAAAATCCCTTAATAACTCGAAAGACCAACTTTCTATGAACCTCGGCATAAATAGTTGATATATTTATTTATGAGATCTTATAAACTGATCTTCTTAAGCTGACGCGAGGTTGGTACAGATCTTCGTTGTCTTTTTGATGTTATTGATCGACAACGACAACGAAGATCTGTACCAACCTCGCGTCAGCTTAAGAAGATCAGTTTATAAGATCTCATAAAGAAATAAAAATCCTCGAGCAGCAACCGAAGCCACACGTAAAGTTAGAAGATCTTCGTGGACAATGGATGCGAGGAAACGAAGTGAATGTGAGCAGTGCTGGGATCCGCACAGTAGACGTGAAGACGGGTCAAATAAGAATAAAAAATATACAAATTAAGGGAGCGGGTAGCGCAGTGATAATGATTCCATTCATTATGCCGACGGCCAAACCTACCTAGAAGCTGATTCGATCCCGCCTCGGTTTCACCAACCATTTCATCCTTTCGGAGTTGAGATAGGTACCAGACTTGTCTGGAGTAAGCTCACAACCTCCAACCCATATGGGAACATTCTAAGACGGTTATTTCATGATTACAGGTAGAATCAACTCGACAATCATTCTACGACATTCGTAAAAGAATGCAAAATCCTCAAGCAGCAGCCGAAACAACACGCGAAGTGTTCGAAGACCTCAGCGCACTCTGAATTTGAAGAGAACGAATCGAATACTAGAAGTGGTGGAATCCACACAATGTGTTATGCTTGATGCCGAGTCATGTAATGAGAGTAAAAATAAAAGCCGCACTTTATTCACTTCGGGAGAATGAAATCTTGATGTTCGGAAGCGAGGAATTCTTCGAAGACATTTTCAGAAGCCCGTTGTCTGTTGAAAACATTTCACAGCGAGTAGACGTCGAGGTCTTGAAAAATGGTAGATGGTTATGAGGCTCGGTGAATATGTCGAAAAACGATTATATTTCAACCGGTTCATCATCCGTAGCATTGTGCGCTTGTGCAACGTGTTAGCGAGCGCTGCAAGAAGACTAGAGTTCCTCTGTTGACCGAGAAAGTATATGTATGCTGTAATTTCTATGCATTTCAACTATTTCCTAACAGCGCAAAGCTGTTGTGATTGTTCCGCCCGGATTCAGAAAGTTGTAGCGAATTAAGGCCCGGTATGAACACTATAGTATTCATAATCAGCTTAGAGGATTCCAGAGTTTATTTCACCGCATTATGTATATTCATTCGATACGAATCGAAAGAAGATCGAAATAGAGACTGAACATAAACTGAAAAATACTTCCAAGCGGTGACAGTTATCTATCTGCTTGACTGATCACAGCAACACTTAGTAGTTAGTAGCATACAGATCATTCATACTCGTAGTACGATAGAGCATAACCTCTTTTCAAATCCTGTCTTGTTCACAACCACTAGAGTACTCTAGTTATTGGACTACTATTTTATATTTCAAAAAAATAAGCCTGTCGCCCGTAGCCGACGAAAAATTGCCCTTATTCCATTTCATTTTATTCCATTTTCAAGCATTTCAGAGGTCTCATGTTCGGAGGCTTTTTGTTACTTCCCAGCATTATGATGAAGTTTGACCTTACGAAACAAAAAATAGTTTACCTTCCTTGACAGTACCTTTCTAATTTTCCTAAAATCATTGCAAATTAAGAGTTAGAGGAAATATTACGGCGATAATAAAGAAGGAAGCATTAAACTGGTATATAACAGTAATTTATGCAACAAGCATTTACTACAAAATGTATTGGGAAAATTCACAATGATTAAACATCCGTTCTTTTTGCGCTAGCCTAATCTCCTAACTTAGCCACTAAAGTAAAAAGTACAGTCGGAATTCAATCCAGTTACCGATTTTCTCAATGTAAGTAGAGTTGCAGAGTACTTAAATTGTTCATTTCACTAAAACCTACTATTTTTGCTTCCTCCATAAGAAATCAATATTTGCAAAATTGTTCCACTGAATTAATTCTTTAGAGATGAACTTGAACTGTTTCACTGATAATTATGACTGGGCGGAATGCAAAATCTCAGTTGTAATTGAATTACAGTGCACAATCACCTGATTTGTAACCGTGGCTTTTAGAGAGTAAAACGAATTTTTCCAAATCATGGACCCACTGGCAGGTAAAATTAGGGATATAGGTAATAACACAAGAACGTTCACAAGCAATGTACCCGACAATCTCGTAGGTATTGTTGCAGCGGGTAATCTTTCAGATAACCATATCCTCCAAACATCTGTAGCGCTTGGTTGATCACCTGCAATGAAGTGAGAAATATGCACAATTAACCATAATGATGCTGAAGCATTTGCAAAACTCCGGTGCGCTGGTGTTTGCAGTGCGGACCGAACATGCTATTAACCCTTCAAGGAGTTAACGCGTTCACCACCACACCACACTAATCCTTCGTTCCGCTTTTCACTCATATAGTAACTATTCCCTGAATAGTTCTTATTTCTATATTATCTTATGTCTTCTCTAATAATTGTTTACTTGTAATAATCATACATCCATTCATGCACATTCTGTAAGTTGCCTCTTCGAGACCATATCATGCATTTGTCTTGTTGCTGGCTAGAAATGGATTCTGTAACTTCTTTCTATAAAGCTGTTCTTTGTCCGACAGTTTGGGCACTGAATGAACAACTGTCAACTGCATGTACTTTCTAACATCTGCCATTCCAATCAACAACATCGCTGTCACGTGCATCTCCTGTATAAGCCATTGCATAGCCTTCACAAACCCTCTGTACATGTAGCTGCATCAGATTGTACTAACTGACAAAGCCCAGAACCTGTCTCCGAGCTCTGTCTCTGCTTTCCTCTGTAAAGCCTCATCCATTACAGATGGAATATAAGGAGCACCATTAGTGATCGAATCAATGTGTTTAAATCCGCAAGTGCTCCAACTCCAGTGTTTGCCTCACCCCTCACTTCAATTTCGCTCGTTCCCGCTCACATAACCAGATATATTGTCATTATTCTACTGTTATTATTGCTATAAACTGTTATAACTCAAACTCGAGGTTGTTCACGGCAGCTACGGAAAAAGACCTGCGTAGCAAACGCATACAAAGTCAAGCATTCCACATACAGTTGGCGGATAGAAGACAAATCTGACCAACTACTTCCCTCTATTCCACTGGCCAACTAGCACAATTGGTCTGGGAGGCATAAATCAGCATGGCATTGAACCCAGTTAAGCTGAAACTGTGGCAAAAATCATAATGTCGTCACTTTCATTCCCACCCATCGTAGATATCAGCGGTCCGGAGTTTTAAAACAATCTCAGCATCATTATATTAATCTTTCATTTTCTGCCCACTATAATTTTTCACGACTGGGCATGATGTGAATTACAACTACAACGATGGTGAGAAAATCATGGTTCGATCTGGTCCAGGGTCCAAGTTTTGCGAATATCTCATCATCATTATAGTTATATTTCACATGCTACTTACCATTAGAGAAAGAGGCAGTAAATAATAAAATTTTATTCTTAATTAGTTTAACACGTATATACTTGGTTGCAAAAAAAACGATTTGGAAAACACAGGTATTCCAAGAATCCGTTCTCCCTGCTTAAAAATCCCAGTTACATTTCAATCGCAAATATGATGTCGCTCACGTCTATACAATTGTCCGTAGCATGTAATTTAGCCATTGCGCACATGGATGCTTTATGGATACTATCCATATCCAGATGACGAGCTGCATCACGCACCATTAGCCTATAAGATGATAAACAAAAGACATAAAATAATATATTTAGATCTGACCCAGAAAAAGGAATGTTTTGTCCCAGAAGGAAGTTTGTGGTGGATAAATATCTCGTAATTTGGCCTTTTAAGTTCAAAAAGTATCTTTTGTATCAGTATGAATCACGAATATTCAAAAGGAAATCTTTTCAAATAAGCCCTGAAAGTGCTATCTCGACAGTGGAGCTTGAAAACAAACCTGCTGCTATGCACTTTCGTAGCCATCTCGGCTAATTTAAACTGATTCCACTGAAATTCGGATAGATGTCTACCGAACTGTTTCCTAACCTAAATGAGTTATGATTTTTTAAAAAAAACTGGAGAAAGAAGGATAGTACCTTTAAATAGTCGATCGCAAGATCAAAACTTTGCTGAGCTGCTCCCAATGAGCAACTTGCTACGTTCACTCTTCCACCGTTTAGGCCAGCCATAGCTATGTTAAAGCCGTAATTATTCGGTCCAATTTGATTAGATATTGGAACCTGAAAACAACTGAAAGATTACATAACACTGCTACAGGTGAAATGTTCCACGCAAACAACACTTAATTCGACCCGATCTTCGAATCAACGAAACCATTGACTATTTTAGCATACGATCACCGACAGCGAATTCACCAACATTTCGTGGAATTCATTAGATCCTATCTTACCCATCAGTTACTCAAACGAATAATTTATATCTTCGAAACTTTACTCTGGTCATACTTCATCTAAAGATTAATGATAAGATTCCGACGCGTCAGCACTAAAGTAGACGGTTCGTGCAGTAAATAAAGTAGAATATGATGGACTCAAATCTAACACACCTTAACATCCTCAAAGGTAAGAATGCGTGTGGGTTGTGTATTCCACCCAAGTTTACGCTCCTTTTTCCCCAGTTTGAAACCTTCCATACCGTTTTCGATCAACAAACACAAGATGCCCTTTGCCCCTGGTTGACATTCATGTCTCACCATCACCACATATCTAAAAGCAAACAGTAGCGGATCTGTTATGCAAGATATATCAGCGAGCACCTTGCATTACAAGAAATTAATGGATCATTGAGGTCCCTTAACAGTGAGTTAGCGGACCCTTTTAATTTCAAAAAAAAAAACACTAGTCCATAGTGTAATCTTTTAATTGGAATAAGATCCACTATGACCTAGAGAAGTATGAATAACCAAGGCCTGAGCTTCTCATGTTATCGAAATCTCTGCAGTTATCAAAAAGTTAAATTCATATCCTAAGTGTTAAGGTTCCTCTCCCAAATCACTAAGCAGACCTACATATTCGAAGCTCCACTTCCACTAATAAATGCTTTCGAACCATTAACGACATAATAATCGCCTTGAAGACGTGCTGTCGTTCGTAAACTTGCAGCATCGGAACCTAAACCCTCAACTTCAACTCATAAGTTACAGAACGAGGGTCATACACTCTTCAAGAGTCAAAAAATACAGAATGAGAGCACAGTGGAGGTTCTACATAACATGGATAGAACACTTACCGGAATCAGGTTCTGTTAAACAATATGACGATAGCGTTTCGAATGTTGCCATGGAAGGAATATACTTTTCACGTAACTCATTGGATCCATAGGTATCGATCATCCAAGCACACCTTAAGAAACAAACTACATTCGAACAGGGAGTGTGTAAAGCTTTACTGACCTTATACACTCAATACACGCCAGATCGGGTATGATTTGCGAAAAGTTCAACATCCCATGTTACCGGAATGGTGGGAATTAAAGGACGTACTTCCTTTCAAAATTCCATAATGTAAAAACTTTACATATTATGAATGCTCATATATGCAGCCGTTGAAACGCAGCCGGCCGATAGTTGCTCGTAGATNACTGAAGCATGTAACCGACTGAGCCCAGCACCGCCAAACTCCTCAGAACAATAGATGGCACCGAATCCTAGCTCACCAGCATTCCGTAGCATTTCCCGAGGAAATATCTCCTAAAACAAAAACGGCAATTTTAGGTTGCCGGTTCTCGTGAATCAAAACTACTGATTAAAGTCACCTGAAAAATAAGACTACTACTGATCTCTTGCAATGAACTGAATCTAACGAATGTTTTATCGGTTTCAAAGAAAAGTAATTATACGACCTCTTGATCCCAAATGGCCATGTTAGGATACATCTCCCGGCGGGCAAAATCGCGTGCCACTTTCTGCACCTCGACGACATCAGCATCAAGGCCAAACGTCGCTATAAAATTTATTTTGTCAGAGAACTCAATGCCATAAAACTTGGTAAAACGAGGATGTGTCTCATCTAAAATGATCACTAACAAAGGAAAATGGTAACGTGGATAAACTCGTGGTGCTCGGAAATAACTAGATTGATTGCTAATACACGATCGGATAATTCAAACGTCCCACACAACAGTTTAACGTACTCATTTAAAAGCCTTTGCCATGTATACTCCACCAGGAAAGGATAAAACCAATTAGTCCAGATAACTGACTCACCTCCCAACGGTTTATTGCTTCATCGTGGCCGAGAGGTGTTCCTAGGTGTCCGGCTACGATGTACAGCGGGCGGATTCACCTCCCTGGAAGGGTGTGCCAAAACCAATACTAGAGTCCGTCATTATACTCGGGCCCGCAAAATCAGTGAGGACGGGCCATCCAAGTACTAACTGATTCGTATACAAGCATAATAAAGCAGATACCTTCTGTCTCAATATATATACTTCCTGACATATTTATAACAAATAGAAGGAACACTGAGAAGTTCCACGAGAATCCAAACCTTACATAGCAGTCAAATCAACAAGTGGAGTTATTCAATTCACATAACTGCATTGAGGTCAGGCAAAGGATAAATAGGAAAGATAAAGCTCTGCGCTTTGATCAATCCTTGAGGGATGCACCATGTATTCGACTTCATTAAGCATCGTTAGAGGTGGGATATCTGGTCTTTCCAATGACTCGCGATCGTCTATCGATATATCGAGTAAGTGCTGATATGCTCCCAGACAGGTCTGGTACCACTTTGTGGAACCCGGAGAGATGGACGGCTTGGTGGACTTGCGGTGCGGGATCGATCCCATATGTATTGCAGTAAACCTCCACCTACTGCGCTATACGCACCCGTAAGAGACAGTCAAAGACAAGTACTACTCGCATATAGATTTACGAACACATCAAACTACACACGTCATGTATGTACCATTTCTCTCTAGTCAGACTTAAATAGATAGACAACTGTGATAATTTCATATAACAAATTTCAAAACTGCTTAACATCGAAGTATTTATGAACTAACGATTAAGGCAGTATAGTTGACTGCTCCTAGTGACGGTGTTCAGAACCCTTCTGGAATACCGGAGGATATTACGAGAAATCATCTGAAGGTGAAGATAAGTGAATTTATACTCCGTGAGTGCACATGTTTAGAAAGGACGGATTTCGAAATAGCACGTGTCTCCATCACGAAAACACCAATTAAAGTGAAAGATCAATATCAAAATGGATTTATTAGTTTTCAGCACATCCAAAGCATTAAAAAATTAACAATACAACATAGAGTAGAAGGCAGCGATATATAGGCGATATCAACGCAGATACGTTACGACGTATGCGTTACCTTGACATTTTTCGTTGCAGCAGATATCATTTCACTTTCGCTCAACTGCATTAGAAGAAGTGGTTCTAAAGATCGAATCTGAAAAAGAACGATTCGCATACAAAGAACAATTTGTGACTAATTCTGATCGCAAAAGGATTAAAAACAAAGCTCTCGGCGTTGATCAATCTCTGAGGGATTCGCCACGCATTCGACGCCATCAAACATCGTTAGAGGTGACTAAATGCATATCTGGCCTATGCAACGACTCGCGGTGGCCTAACGATGTATCGAGACAGTGCCGCTATCCTCCTAGATAAGTTTAGCATCAATTCACCTGGCCCACAGAGATGGAAGGCTTGGTGAGCCTGGGGGGCTTGGATCAATCCCATGCGTGTTCTAGAGCGTCTCCAAACACTTGGCTATATGCGCCCTCTTTAATTTTGATCATATCCTCCTGAAACCTATGGAAATACGGCACTCTACTCGGTGCTCTGATAGCGCATTACTGAGTTGAACAACGTTATTAAGATCGCTCATCGTTGCACGCTATCCAGGTCCCTACATTTCCCTAACAGATGTCAGAGAACTGATCCAAAGAAGTGATACGTGTCGTGTATAAGCTCGACTTAATGATTTTGCTTTCATCCCAAATAATCCTGAAATATCTGTGCAAAAGAGTTCCAATGTTTTCACTCCTTCCAAGAATCTCAAATACCTTACTGATTTATAAACTATGTCCAGTTGCCGACCGGAAAGCCAGTTTCTGGCGGTGTGTTAAAACATTTCACGTAAAACTGACTGGCATGCTTCCAATCTTGGAAGTTTTAGGAAAGATCAATTTACAAGCTACAGATCTAAAGGTGTTAATGGCTTTAGATTTTACACTTAGAATAGTGCAGAAGGAATTGCTAAAGCTGGCCAAAAATGTAGGAAACTTCCAAAGCATCCTAAGCAATATCTTTCCAACTGGATAAGCTCTATAGCTGACCGAATTACAGAAAAAGTCATTTGTAACACCAATCATGATCGAGCGATTGAAGTGGGAGTAATCACACAATGCTTCTGCACATTCCTATTCTTCTACGGAGCTATGTCGTGGTCTCCGGTAGAAAATACGACACCAGTGACACCATACGTTCCCTATGGCGACACTTTCTTATTTCGACTGATTTTTTTCTGAGAAAGATGCTCACAGCTGTGTCTCTTGGCTCTGAAGTGGAGGAGGTTGGACTTAAAGGTACCATGCTGAGGACTACCATGGTGTACATAGGATTTATTAATTTAAAGCGAGTCCGAAATGCCACGCCTATGCCTTCGAGTTACATGATTTCAGGCTTTTGCCCATCGAGGTTCATACAAAAGTTAACAAAACAAACTCAGCACAGCACATACATGGATCATAAGTTATAAAAGGGTATACATTCCAGCACAATTAACGGTCTCTTTTAAATCCTTATCCGCAACCTGGCGAATAATGCCACAGTTTACTGACCCGGTATCGCTTACTGAGGGAGATTGGTTCATTACTGAACAGCTGTTCAGAACGACTAAATTGTCCGATACATATCAATGTTCAACAACCACTCCATTTCGGGCATATCTAGCACAGGTAAGAGAGCTTTGCCGTAGGTTCCAACCTAATTAAGCGCTCACCGTATCGTCCGATGTGTCAATATTAGCTGCATTGTCAATGGTATACTGCCGAAAAAAGGCAACCAACTTATGAATATCTTCCTGAGGAATTTGGATCTAAAATTGTTTATATGTTAGCTTCCTGCACTATTCAGAATGCTCCTCACACGACACAAACAAATGTTTACATGCACAATGCGAAGTAAAATACCTGCGGTGTGTCAGAGAGTAACAGCATGAGATAACCGAAAAGGACTTTGTGAAAAGATTGCGGCACATTTGGTGAGATAATCATCGAGACAAGTAACTGCAAGACAGGTTGTAAAAACGCTTCGCCAATACTCTTGCGTAACGTGTACCAGAAAGAACGAAAGATAGTTGGGAATTAAAATGCAAATCAACATTGGTTTAGACAACTTCCTGCCCTTCTCGTTATGGCTTTAAATCTCAACAATGGATTAAAGCTTCGTCTTGGCCGAAAGTTTTTGTGTGTGTGCTTGTGTATGTATGTACGTATGTATGTATGTATGTGTGCGTGTATATGTCTCTGTGTGGGGTGTGGATGTATGTATATTCGTATCTGTATGTGTACATGCCGTGATGTATTTCGAAATGCAATCCACAAAAAAAGATTGATCGCTCGACATTGTTTCTCAAGCTGTCTAAACAAGAGATTACCATTGAGAATGAGATTGTGATAGAGCCGTATTAAAAAAATGTGTTCTCAAGTATTTCAACTGCTATATAGATCCCTTCTGACTGCAGCTACTAAAATTACATCCAGAGTACAAACTCACTGGAACACCCGATCGCACGTCTCCAGCACTGAGAGATCGATGAAAGCGATAATAATTAAAAAGAAACGCAAGGGAATGAGATCCCAGTTCTGCTACGTAGTCAGCCATATGGTCAAGTGCGCTCAAAGTAGCCAGTTTATCTTTTTCAGCTTGCCACACAATTCTGCAAAAACCACAGCTGCATCTTATATAGTAAATTATTTGAGTACATTTACCAGACAGGTAAGCAAATAAAATGCCAGAAAACTAACGTTTTGATACGAGAGCACACTCACATAAGGTGAAAACAAGAACTTCCAGATTAAAACTGAGGATGGATCTCTTATCCTACTTAATTAACCATTAATTACAGCTTTTTTGGAGTGTAACCTTACCTATTTACCGCTATATCAAGCGAATGACCTCTTCCACCACGCATGGCCCACGATAATGCAGAACTCCACTCCAATGACCTCTTCCACCACGCATGGCCCACGATAATGCAGAACTCCACTCCTCCTCTCGTAGATAACTAAATGATACCAACGTGGTACGCAAATAAATAAATAAACAAACAAGGAAATGAATAGATAAGTGAAGATTCGATCACCAATAATATGTACAGTGTGGTACTGTGATAAGAAACAAACCGATAAGTCATAGTGTTCACAATACAGGCTTTGGAGTCATCCAGCTCTTGTTCCTCACATATTCGCATCAACTGTAAATTGCGTAATTATTGTAGTACGCACAACGTTGAGAGATCATAGTTAAATGGAAAACTGACAGCCTCAGCCATAGCTTCGTCTTCGATATGCATAGCCTCTATATGACTTTCTAGTCTTAATCGGCCCTCTGATCCACAGTGTATTAAGTAATTTGCACCAATCTCCCAGAGACTGAAAGAACGCGTCAAAATACAGAAGTGAGCCTTAGAACTGCTGTTAGAGAAAAGTTTCGCTGTAGTAATCAAATAGAAATCCGTAAGAACTTCAAAATAACATCAGATTACTGCAGGACTTTACGGTGAACTTTCTAGAAGATACAACACAGTCTAATGAGATTTTATCGGCGCACACAATCATTGCTAATACCTCTCCGATACCCACGTCTTACACGTCTCTAGAGTTAGTGAATATTAATTACCTTTCCTCACCAGAGCAACCGAAAAGAAACAATTTCAAACGCCTCCTTGCTCACCAATGACTTTATAGTTCAAACATTCCCTGTCCGATGCATAAAATCACTTCTACCTCTGAGATTTTTTGACAAAACCATTTTTACAATGTGAGCACTCTGTGGAAATAATCTTACCTGGTGTTCCCAAGATCGACTTTCTACTAACCTTGGTATTGGACTATAAATTCGTCGTTTCTCTTTTCAACAATCGCGAGGCTGTTAAGCAGCATACGTTTACTTCCAGAGAGAAACACAATACAATACAACACTAACTGACGTTTCGGCAGTATCGCCTTTTTCAGAGCCTAGAAGGGTATACTGATATACAATCTACTAGGCTAAACGCTTCAACAGCACAAACAGAGACTGGATAAATGCCAAAAATCCTACAATAAATAGCAGGGAAGAATACCCAGAGATCACACGTGATCTTCCCCCTTACATTCGTATCGATCGTTGATGTGGGGTGGTGCAGCCGTCAACCATATGCGACTCTAAGAGGATGTTCTTCCTCGGTAGAAGACAGGCGAAAAAAACGCGGTGGATTTTTCGAGAAACCGTTGATCTTGTGATTATCGTTCAGATTTTCATCTTTCTGTTTGCGCTTAGAAGCGTTTGACCTAGTAAGTTGCGTATTAGTGTACCTTTCCAGCCTCTGAAGGCGATTCTGCCGAAACGTCAGCTACGGTTGTGTTGTATGTGTGTTACTGCATGGAAGTAAACGTATGCTGTTTAACAACCTCACGATAGCTGAGAAAAAAAAACGACGAATTTATAGTCGAATGCCGTGGTTAATAGAAAATCGAGCCTAGGAACTGTTACAAGATGTACCAGCAAGACACTTTCGACTTAACTGCTATTTTGGATCAAACCAGAACCATACTCCATTAAAAGAAACTCTCGAGCTTCTAGAAGTGTTGGAAGATTTCCGTACTCCGTGTCAGTGTGCAGCAAGGTATCAGTGAGATGAACTGATAACCATGGATTAGACATCAAGTTCTAAACTGCACAAAAGTACCATGTAATGTGGCCAGGAAACAGAAGTACAAAGCATACCTGTAAGACAGAAATATCTTTCATCGTTAGAATTGAAAGAAACGGATCGAACTCCTCATCGTTACAATTCGCCACCGTTTTAAATAAGTCCCGGCACTCCTTTAAGGTTATTGGCAGTGTAGGAAAAAATTATGTCAAATAAATAGTAAAGACCAACAGAAGCTTTCCATAATTAAGTAAGGATATCTCTCGTTATTTCATAAAAGATGTGCATATCCTTACATGTGCAAGTGTACCCAATTCATTGTAGGTAACCGTGAAATTCTTCACAAACACATAGAATGGCATCAAATGCCACCATTCGCTCACGACAGCAGACGCGGCACGCTCCAAGTACTAAGTGGGAAGTATAGGGATAGTCAACTAATGGGTTATGAAACTCGTTCCACAAACCTTCCGATCTCCATGGAGCAGCTGAGCCAGAAACAATACATTCTTGTTACTATCAAACGCACCAGATGTTAGCAAACAGCTCAGTTCATGTTTCCATCGATCTAATTTAGACATCTGAAAAGGTGAATAGTACTACTCTCGAGAACAACTGAAACAAAAATGGAATTATACACAGAGATGGCTTCCTTTAAAATCTTTTAATTTTCTTCGGAATAAACGAAAACGTGGAAGATAAAAACGAATTCAACAGCATCGGATTGTGCTTCATAATCTGAACGTTGAAAGTAATGAAAAATGAAGTCTGAATGGAGGTAATGAATAAAGAAGAATAGAAAATAAAGAAGAAAGGTCGTTTCCGCAAAAATGAAGTCAAAGTGTCAATGTTTGATATCTATTCACAATGAGTGGCGTGTGTGGCGCAGTTGTCAAAGGCGTCCTACAATACAGATGGGATCGATCCCCACTTTCTAGGCTCACCAAGCCTTCCATCCCTCCGGGGTTGGCAAATTTGTACCAGATCTGAGAAGATAGCAGCACTGACTTGATACATCGGTACGCCATCGCGAGCCGTTGAAAGGCCAGATATGCATTCAGTCACCACCAACCATGCTTAAGGAAGCCGAATACGTGGTGCATCCCTCAGGGATTGATCAATGCTGAGAGCTTTTATCCGCAATGACTATGAACTTCGTTTCTTCTGCTTCGAAAATGATGGAGGAAACCATGCTGGTTGAATCCATCCGACGGACTAGCACGCTCCAGAACATAATTTCTTCACGTGAACTTAGCAAAATCCCAACCACAACCCACTCATAAACTGCGACCTTAACCATTACGTAAAACACCTTAGTTAATAAGAACGAACACAAGAAAGAATGAAACTTTGCGGAGGAAACCTTGCCTTCGCTTCATCAAGCAACCAATTCCACTCAAAAGAACTCAACAGATTCCTGAATCTACCAGCGGCCTTATCATTTTTCAACAGAGCTAGGAAATCAATGCAGATATCGAGACGACAGCCGATCAATACAAGGCAAACCTAAACAACTACGTGATCAAAAAATGGGAAAGCTCAGAAACGAATAAAGAAGTGTAAAGAATATTACCGCTCTCCAGTAGCTTCCTTCGCCAACCGACATACCTTCGTCCAATTCTTTGGCTGCTTTTCGTACAACCTTGTCAATAAAAATAAAAGAGTCTACACCCCAAGAGATAAGATCAAGGCATATTGGTGTATCTGAAAATAGAGTTGAGCTTAACTGGGTTCAGTGCTAACTTGTGCTTCTCAAATCAATCCCGTTGACAGATGATTGCTAATGGCACTAATCAATAGAAAACTAGCTGAGACACAGGCGAGACGAAGAACCCGCATGATGTGGCGAGGAACGTGTTAGCTCCCGGAAAGAGTAAATATTGGGTTTCATGCTCATTGGAGACAGCTGCGGTTCGGAGTTTTACAAATGGCTAAGTACCATTGTGGGTATAGGGAGCTAAGTTCAAAATTTTTATGTTGAAAAACGTATGATGAAAACAAACGTAAGAGAAACTGAATGGACGTAACAAACGTTGCCGAACCTCCTTGCTTGAAGAACATCGTCTCAAAAAGGGACCAGATAGTGAAATCGCGAATGTACACATTCTCTTCCTCCTCTATCTCTTCAGCACAATGAAGCAATGCAGATCGGTACTCACGAGAGATGGAAAGCGTCCTGAAAGGAGAATGGCAGTACAAGGACATATGTCACTGTTTATTCACAAGAAAATAAAACAATGTGAAACGATAAAGCGAAAGTTTGTAGATTAGAGACTCACTCTACATTATTAAGCCGTACGTGACGAGAAAGCTGTTGACATTTCTCGAAAATAACATGCATTTCTATCAAAAGTTGACGGACCACTGGGTTTGCATACACTAGCTGAACAGACGGCAAATTTTCACGGAATCCACGAAACGAACCACATGGTGGAGCTAAACACTTCTAATACATCGGCTTCAAAAAGAGCTCCACTAAGTTATTTATTATTTATTTATTTATTTACACGACCCGTCTTCACGTGTGGGGCAGACTTTGGCCAGACTGACCTCGTGATTCCAGGGAACGACAATGGCTTGCCAGCAAATACTCGAAGAACGGAGATTATGCTGAGGCCGGCCAGTACAACCAGAGAAGACGGGTCGTCCAGGTACCAAGTCTCCACGTCTACCGGGCGGATCCCAGCGCTTCTAACATTCGATTCGTTTCCTCGCATGCAACATCCACAAAGGTCTTTCAACTTTTAGGTGTGGCTTCGGATGTTGCTTGAAGATTTCCATTTCACCTCGAATGTCACAGAATGCTGGTTAAGCCGACTCTCTCTGGAGCCCTGAGATAACCGGGGTAGAGCGTTCCCACTTAAAGCGATTTTTTCCCGGACAATTCCAGCACCAGTTTCGCGATCCCAGAGAGATCACAGGTTTGCAGAAGCAGGGGATGGACTCGAGAGAGCAACGTGGTCGTGATGACCGGCATCACTACCACTTTGTATTACCGGTCTCCTGTTACACCACGCACTTGAGCCAAGTATGATCCCCAACTTAAGATCTCAAAGATGAATAACAAATCGTAGTTTTCCATCGATCTTACATCGCCATCCAAGCATATAACTGACATCACGTGGTTTTCAGTAAGTGGGAATGGATAACTATACATCTTAAGAACAAACACTATTCGAAAACTGATTGTCTAACTTACCAGTGTCGTCAACCTTCGCAGAGACACTACTTATACCACAAATTACGTGTGTGTCCCATGATGAGTACGCATAGTACAGTGTATCTGAAGTCATCACCTTTTCCTTCATTCACCTCGACACAGTATCCTTTCAGATTCAGAAGAAACCGCAACTTCTGGAAGAACCATTGGTGTCTTTTTGTTGCTTTTTGCTAACATTTACGAAAAAATGGAAAAATTGAAGTTAAGGCACAGAGTGAGTTGATAAAATCTCTAGAAATCTCTGCAGAGTTCACCACAGTTGGATAGATGTGTTAGCGGCCACCAACACAGAAAGTCTCTCTCCCAATCTCTGGAGTAATCATTAAAACTTTGTAACCATAATTTGCCAAAACTATGCTCCTAAAATAACACTTGTCTACTTATGCCAGAGGTTTCGAACATACAGTTAGACTTGGGTCAGCTAAAAATCCTTCGAAAAGAATTGTTGTACCAAAGAAAAACAAAACAGAATTAGCTGGGCTGTAACGTTCCTAGATATGCCTAGAACTTCCTACACCTTGGTATTACGAAATGCTACAAAGTAGGAGTAGTAATAAAGAACTAAAGTTGCCTAAGACCATCAGCTCTCTCAAATAGCATCAGTTCACGCACAAAATTAGCACCAGAGCACCTTTTCTTCAGAGTTAAAGTTCTAAATTTCGACCGAACACTTTATCGTGCTAAATCTGCGAGGAAAATCGGTTAAAAACCTATTATTAAATCGGAACTTATTATCCTTATTGTTGTTTATTACATTACCTAACATCACACGTACTGTACTCTGCGTATCCTAGTATTTCTTGGATTCGATTCGTCTCCTCCCACTCACTATCCGTGAAGATCTTCTAGCTTTCTGCGTTTAGGTTTCGCTGCTGCTTGAGGATTTTTCCCTTCATCATGAATGTGACTGAATACCGGTCGAGCCGACTTCCACTGGAATTTTGTGCAGTCGTGCTAAAGTGTTCCCGGATGAATGAGATGGCGTGATCTTGTTCCACACAAATCTGGTACGAGTCTCCTCATCCCATTCGTATTGCAGGCTTGATCGACATGAATGGGGTCAAATCTGGGACTGGATTGGTTTCACCATCAGTGTAATGGTCGGGATTCCTACTACTGTGCTACCGTCTCTCCAAACCTAACCTGTCGTCCCCTTGGTCGCTGAGTGACTCAAGCGGGCGCCACTAAACCTTCCATTCCTCCTTGTTGCGTACAAGAGCACCCAACCGGTTCTCCTCGCTCTTAGGACTCATATGGCACCATATCTTCCTTCTACAGATTTTGCGAAGAACTCTGAACATCGTATCGGTGGCTTTTCTGTGATCGATATCCCAAGGGATCCAGTCACTAACGTCTCTTGTTCGTCGGTTGTCGTTCATAGGCATTACGTGTCTGGCCCACCTTAGCTTCGACTGTTTGGCGTACAGAACGGCATCTTTGATTTTTGATCGTTAATGCAGGTCGGAGCTTCGCATCACATCCCTTACTTGTGTGGAACGGGATACTCCTAGCATCGTCCTTTCGACTGCGCATTCATTAACGCTGAGTGACCTTTCATCCTGTTTACGCAGTGAGCCGCTCGTTTCCTTCTGCTCAGCTCTGGATCTAAGTCGTTCATCATGTTGATTTCCCGACCTAGATAGACATAATTGGAGCACTCGGAGATATTCGTTCCGTTTAGGGTGAATGGGGCATACGAAACCAGTTCGTTCCTCATAAACATTGTTTTTGTGAGATTTAGTCTAGCTCTCGGCGTTGATCTATCCTTTTAAGGACGCGCCATGCACTCGACTTCATCAAATATCGTTTGGAGGTGATTGGATGAATATTTGGGCCTTCACAATGACTCGCGGTGGCCTACCGATGTATCGAGCCAGTACTGCTATCCTCCCAGATAAGTCTGGTACCAATTCCAACCTCGGAAGGATAGAACGCTTGGTGGGCCGTGTGCACGGGGATTCCGCGAGTGTGTTGCAGGGCGCCGCCGACCACTGCGCCACACGCACCATTAACACTTCTATGATATTGTATAAATATATACGATATAATAGGTATGCTATAATTTTAATATGCGTACGACATACCATATTGGTCCTGACTTCGTGTAATCTCATTTATGCAGCGACTCACCATGTCGATGTTTGATTAAACCTGGTCATTAAACCTGGTCTTCCTGAACAAATATATGCATATACAGCCATTTATATGCATACAAATAATTGAAATAGCTGACGTAAAACTTGCTGGTTCTCCAACCCACGGAAACAGTACACCACCGTGTCTCGTATATCCACGACAATGAATCATGGTTGCCTTAAGGAATAAGCAGATGTGTAGTAACATTGATACTCGTAGAACGATAGCATACAGTTTTTTCTATTTGTATGTGAAAGTTCCAACTCCTGAAGTGGACTACTCATTGAAAAATTGCTGGGAGTCATCGAAAAAGTGGCACCACACTCAATGTGAAACATTTTTGACATCGTCGTTTCCTTATTTTCAATCGCTATGATGAATCGTAGGAATTATATGGAATGGGAGGATATCAAAACCACAAAGTAAGCAGTGTAATGTTCTTTGCACGACTCTACATAACTCTACGTAAATCCTAGGTGCATGCTACCATAACTGGTCAAGCAAAGCGGACTACGTGCATTGTATCTTATTCATTGTTTTTTCAGCGGTCTATTTTTGTACACAGAATTTTTCACTGCCCTATTTTTACCCAGTCGATAGCTAGTGCAACACAGATGGCGTAAATTTGATATCGCTCGAGAAAATCTGTTCTCTGCATTTAGTGATTTACAGAAACCTTTTCCGCAAGAGTTTACTAACCCGTAATTGATCGTTACTTCAATTCCAAAAAATTATAGTAGACTATATTTCTCGTATGGAATAGGAGGGAGTGAGAGTTACAAAAACATGCTTAACGTTACCCGTAAAATACTTCAAATGCTAATAACAATATGTCTGCTGATGGGCCATGGCAAATTAGGATAAACGGTGGCATGCAATCGAATCGTCGAGCAGTCTCCTATACAACCCTGCCATGTTAACAACCTTTCAGCTGGTATGTTTGTCCAGGAATCAGTGTTTATCACCTGGGATGCAGCGTCTCCGTAACTCATTTTCGCGGCATAACTAGAAAGGGACATTTGGGGTCCACTGCTCATCCTATGTTGGGGATATATATATATATACATATATATATATATATATACATATATATATATATATATATAACAATATTCCGTCTTACGATGAATAGGTCTAC